CTACTACTACTACTACTACTACTACTACTACTACTACTACTACTACTTACTACTACTTACTACTACTTACTACCACTACTACTACTACTACTACGACTACGACTACTACTACTACTACTACTACTACTACTAACTACTAACTACTAATTACTAATTACTAACTACTAACTACTAACTACTAACTACTACCTACTACTACTACTACTACTAACTGCTGCTACTAACTACTACTACTACTAACTACTTCTACTAACTACTACTAGTAACTACTACTACTACTCCTCCTACTCTACTACTACTACTACGACGACTACTACTACTACTACGACTACTACTACTACTACTACTACGACTACTACTTGGTTTGTTCTACTTCTACTACTACTACTAACTACTAACTACTAACTACTACCTACTACCTACTACCCACTACCTACTACTACCTACTACTACCTACTACTACTACTACTCCTACTACTCCTACTACTACCTACTACTACCTACTACTACTTACTACTACTACTACTACTACTACTCCTACTACCTACTACCTACTACCTACTACCTACTACCTACTACTACCTACTACTACCTACTACTACCTACTACTACCTACCTACCTACCTTTCCCCGTTCTCTTTTTTCTTCGCTGTGAATATTGTTTTTGATCCTGTTTTTTCTTTTTGATCCCTCTTGAATATTGTTTTGAGACTGATATGTTTTATTTGTTGGTCTTTCACCCAGACAGCACGCCCACCAAGACTCTCTCACCCAGATATCCATGGCGCCCCACACACGAGTTCAGGCCGGCCACCCGCAGTACTTTGACATTTTCTCGCCCCAGGCAGGAGGCCCAGGTCACAATAGCTTCTTGCTGCTTCCACAGCTGCCCTGACCTTGTTTTGTCCTTCAAGATGTTCAACTAATTATGGTGGAAGAAGAGGCGTTGGCCAGCCTCCAAAACTCCTGGGCCTTGGCCGATCCGATCTTTCACAATACCTCTTTAATGCATGCGGTCAATCGCAGGACCCCCGAGGCAAAGCTGAGAAGTCAGAGGTGCCCACTCGACGAGGCTGCGTCCCGCCGGAAAGGGGATCAATGCGTGAGCGCAACCTGCGCCCGCGCTGGCGAAATCTTGAGCGCAACATGAAGTCATCAAGACTACTAGGAGCAAGGACGCCACTAGGGGCTCCTGGCATCACTACTAAGAGCAAAAGGACGCTACTAGGAGCTCCTTTTACTACTAGGAGCAAGGACGCCACTACGGGCTCCTGGCCAAACTACTAGGAGCATGGGACGCTACTAGGGGCTCCTGGCATCGCTACTAGCAGCAAGGACGCTACTGGCCTTACTACTAGGAGCAAAGAAGCTACTAGGGGCTCCTGGCATCGCTACTAGGAGCAAGGACGCTACTAGCTGCCGGGTTCAGCAGCCCGGAGACCAAATCCCACGTGTCCTTGTTGCCTTCACCAGTGCCTTCCGCCGGGCAGGCAGCCCGCGGCCCCGTCAACTACCAATGGCCATGAACTCGAGGGACACTTTCCCTGTTCGCTGGATGGAGTTTTGTGTTTTTTTTTGGGGGGGGGGCTGGGATTATCGTCAAGGCAGGGTGACTTTGTTTGACCTTGAAGCTTTTTCGTCAAGGCACTAGCTATGCCTATCCCGGATTGTAAGATTTGTGAGGATGTGGATGCCAATCTGGAGCTGGTCGTTAGGATCCGTGGGGCACCTGCTGTAAGCACATATCTGCCAAGTAACTCGGCCACCGAACATGTCGCCGGATCACCGGGTGGTTTGGATCATCTGAGGCTCGACGGAGTTGCCCGGCCCTCAGCGCCAGGAATCCAGGGCAGGCCCGGAGAAGAATCCTCGTGAATCCCGTATTCGGCCCACATCGAACTAGAGAGAGGAAGATGGGAAGTTACTCAAGGCTGTTAGGCTGTTTGTTTTGTCGGGTGTGTGTGTGTGTATGTGTGTGGATGTTCAGTTTAGCTGGATGTTGAGTTTAACCGCCCGTGGTGCAGAAGAACTCTGTGAAACATGTGTGCATTTGCAAGAAAACAGCCCTTTGGCCTCTTTAAACGCGTTGTGCATGCTGCAACACGTTTCTGCCACGTTGCCCACATACCCGGAGACTTGACAGCCATTTGAATTATCGACACATGACTGGCACCATCATCGTGTGTGACACGAAGACGGCTGGCCTAGAGGACTAGTCAGAACAAGATAGCACAAGTGCAAAACCGATCTATCAACAAAGGTCTGAACAGTCCAAAACCCTACGTCTAAGTGAGTGAGCAGTGCAACTCGGGCAGCGGGAAGTCGAAAAGTGAAGAATGCAGATGCCAGGTGAATTGTTGCTAAGGCCTTGTTTGATGAACCCAATTGAAGTGATAGAACAATCCAGTTCTGCCATCGCCTGCGCAGTATTGCATGTTGCAGCACCAGCTTTGGCGATGGAAAGGTCCAAACGAGGCTCCAGGCCATCCATGCGTCACTTCTTCTATCGGCGCCCGATTCAAACCTTGAAGTCTCGAAGGGGACGTTCTTTGGATTGGGGAGACCTGGGACCATACTGCAGTGGTGTGCTAGGGGGTGCTGTTTTTTGACAAGGCCTGAAGGCTGGAGGAATCCAAGTGATTTGGACACCACAGTGGTTCAACGTGTTTATACGTGTTTTGTTTTTTCCTTTTTGGATCGTCCCCCAAGCTTTGGCCGACATCCACGACAACCCACCAGTTCTTCAGCACTGGAGTTCCTGGTCCTGGTTTTGCTATGAATCGGCAGACGGCCTTTCTGACCAACATGTATGATAGTTATGAGGAGACACGTTTTTTTCTTGGGACAGGAGAAGTTTTCCTCATCACGTATTTGCAACCACCTAGGGGTGAGTGCACTTATTTGTCAGCTGCCCCAAACTTGGGGGCAGCTCACAGTCCAAACAGCTCCAAATGGTAGTACTTTGCATCCGTAAATGTCATATACTGTATATATATATATATTTCACCTATCCTATCGTGTTCATGACCTTTGGATTAGGTTGACACGTTGACGGCGCCATGAGCTGCGTTAGCATTGTTGTGGAAGAATAAAAATGGGGGAGGCCCTCAAAGACCCTTGAGACCAAGTCCAGGAAGATAAACACAAGAGTAGCAGGATTCGCTGGGGTGGTCTCCCTACCCATGTGGTTTGGTTCAATCAAATCTTGAGCTTCACACCTTAGTCGAACCCATCAAAACTGGGTAACTGGGCCAAGCACAGGATGCCAAGCCACGCATGCCAGGTCAATGGTCAGACCCTTGTGCCGTGGCAGCTGTGATACGACAATATGGCAGATACAACCTGGTCCAGTGGCTGGGCGCTGGGCATTCCAAAGGCCAAAAGCCTTTCAAAGTTGACACAGATGCCCGCAACCCTCATAGCCAGGGTTCATGTTCAATGTTTTGCACTTTCATACTTCTAGGGCTTAGGCCCAGGCTATATACCCTGGGATTGAAACCACCATTATATAATTTCATTGATAGTATCGAAAAGCCGTTGTTCCCCACCTGCCAGGTGAGGGTTGTTAGATTCTATCAGAGCTCTTCTCGTCCTCCTCCTTGTCCTCCTCCTCCTCCTCCTTCTCCTCGACAGCAAGTGACAGCAAGTGGCAGAGCGCAGTGGGCACTGCCGGACCTCAACAGCAAGTGCCACTTCGCAGTATGCACCACCGGACCCCAACCGCAAGCGCAAGATCGCAGTGGGCATTGCCGGACCGTAACCGCCAGCTCCAGATCGACTACCGGACCTCAACTGCAAGCGCCAGATCGCTGTGGGCAGTCTCGCAGCCGCAAGCGCCAGAGCGCAGTGGGCAGTACCGGACCTCAACCGCAAGTGCCCAATCGCAGTGGTCAAGGACCCACAAGCAATATCGAAGCCACAAAGGTCACGACCATGGCAACACGCTCCTCACCATGGCATGAAAGCAAATGATTGACATGTCACGGTGGGGATCACTCGAAGTAAAGTAATCTTACCAAGGGCTTAGACGTTCGAAAAAGCCTTGGACGGCTAGAGTGTAGTAGGTTGGGGCCATCGCTATTGGGCTCAAAGCCATCTCTATTGGGTTGGGAGCTATGCCACTTATTTGCTATTAGGATGGAGGCCATCGCTAGTGTGAGGCTCCATGAATAGCTTGGTGGATGTCCAAACCAGAGAGGGGGGTTTAAGAACCATGTAGTTAATCAAAGTGAATACAGGGGATTAAATAAAAAAGGATAAAAAAAGGGGACGGTGTATTAATTTTGTTGTGCATCTTGCTGCGGAGGGTACCATGCAGGGTCACAGCCAACAGCGAATTCACAGTCAAAGGGGTTTCCTCAATAACTTAAGGGCGAAACGGAGAAGAGGCACGGGGTTGAAGAAGAGAATTCCTTGCTGTTGATTTACTAAATGTTATCATACCATCCCTAGAAACTTTGAACACCGGTTTTTGAGCCCCCTGTGATTGATACTACCAGAGCTTCCCGCAGACGGCTTCCCACAGATCTTTCGAGGTCCCGGCCCCACACCAGCGGCTTCGTGCGATCCAACGCGCATGTGCGGCGACCCAACTGGGAAGACGGGCAAGCTGACCTGGGTGGGGAGGACATGTTCCACGGGGGAAACGGAATCAACACACATATGACCAGGTGGGGTGTGCCCCATTACGAGTAACAGTCGGGAAAAGATGATCACTAGTTTTGAGAATTGCCTTTACCAACCAAAGGGGAATATCCACTGTTACTGGTAATTAATGGGGTATGCCCAATCGCCAGGTATGGTTTTCTGCCTTTTTGCTGGTTTGGGTGGCTTGTCAGTAGCAAGTTTGTTTCTCTTTGGAGGGAAGTTCCGAAAGGATGCTCCTGTATTGATTGATGGGTCAATGGGGGATGATCAGCCACTTTTTTTGCGTAAAACAACCGTTCTGTTAAGTGAACAGAAATCGGGAAGTAGATTGAGAAGGGGATGATGACTGTTCCATTGTACAGCGACAACTGGGACCTGCCAAGGGCACCTGAAGGACCTTTGAGCCTTGACCTGTGATTCATGTGTTTCTTCCCTTCCTTGTCCTTCCATAAGCACTTCCCATCGTGTTCGAGCTGCTTATTGTGTTCCAACATGTTAGATGGCCGAACATGTCCACCAGCAATGTGGCTGCAAGATGGCAGACTCAACCTTTCTCAGGTCACAGTTGTTTCATCCTTCAAAAAACTTTTTTTGATCGCCACCCCTTTAACCATGAAAATGTAACTTAGCTAAAATTGCCTGAACGTGGTAGGGGGGTTCTACAGGTGTCATATTTCCTGTGAACTGTCAACGGCAAGAATGTAAGCTGGGGGTCGAAAATGTAATATTACATGCTTGACGCCTTAAACAATGTTATGTTACAATGTTGACCCTCAAAATCAACGAACATGTAAGTTACATTCAGGGTCCCCCCCTCACTAATTTGTGGCGATCTTTGGCCACCTCAAGAAGCATCGTTTTAGAATCAGGCAGTGGATGTAGATGGCCAGACAAGATGCATTCTATTGATGGCTATTGAATCCTCGAGTGAATGAAAGCATGAGAGACAGTGGTTAAATATTCAGATGGATGCTTTCATTGATCTATCGATATCTATCGTCTATTGATCAATATCTAGGCAGATGGACAGTCTTTCAGTCTTTGGAGCCACTCGGTCGCAGGGACAGCGGCTGGCACGTGCGTGGTCGCAGTCCGACCTCTCGCAGTTGAGCATCCTCGAGAGGCAAACGGGAGGGGCTCGGAACGGATGATGGAATCGAGAGGAAATCGGTTATACTAAGTTACTAGCAAGATGAAGTCATTCAGATTTCTGGATTTTGTCGTGTTTCTCACCGCCTCCCAGAAAAACAACGCAGTCCAGCTTCAGGCATGCAGTTCGAATACGGAGGATATTTATAAGATGTTATAAGAATGTGAACGATACGGCTGAGCAAATGGATTGCAAACGGGGGAAACAGACAATCACATTGGCTGCTGAGCTGGTTGCATTCGTTGGTGTGCCAGCACACTTGGTTGCCAGAACTATAATTATGAGTGTTGTCCCGTAATTTAAGTGCAAGTCATTGAATTGTTCTCAACTCATTCTAGCTGCTAGCATCTTACTACGAAAGAATGTGTCCGTTACTTACCAGCCAATCAGTGCCAACAGATGCCGAGAAGGATGGATTGGATCGTGAGAATTCTTTTGCTTGGCCTCCGGAGGGTTGGATACGCCTTGGTCGGTCCAACGCATGGTTTCGACAGATCCCAGATCGAACGACGTTCGCGGACGTGTGATCTCCAAGCGGACGCTGATTGGCCGTACCAGGAACACTCGACAAATGCTGGAGAAGGTGGGTGACATGGGTTGGGGAAAGAAAACAAACAAAAAGCAGGGGCTCGCCACATGCCTCAACTGGCAAGCCAGATCAAGCTGGCAAACACTTGTGCTTGCCTCACGTGTTGAAGTTGAGAAATCTCTCACCGAGCTGAGCATCAAACTGACATGTTGGCTGGACGTATTTCCCTAATGCTCCACTTGATCGCCGCCCTCCAAGTACCTACAAAGGCCATCCGAGATGATCCCTTAGCTCTACTCAGCCGTTTCCCATGGACACCTCGCCATAATGCCCCCCATGTCTGCCATCAGAAACCTTCGCCTTGTTGGTGCAAGGCGACCAACTCGATGCGGTTGCCCTTCCTGGAAGAGGATTGCTTGAGGACCTTGCCGCCTGATAGCGGAGCAGCGGTAGCGATTCCATTCCTTGGGGATTGGACGCGGGACGAAAACAGCAGAACATCGTATTACAGCCTAATCTCTCAGAGATCGCGACGGGGAGAGGGGGGCAGAGGGAGAGGGAGAGAGAGGAGAGAGAGAATAGGGAGATTACTACAACTTTTTAAGTCTTGACCGGGGAGTGCGCCAGTCGCTTCATACTCTCCTTTATTTCAGCAATTTACTGAAACAGGTCAGTCGGCCTACAACTGTAAGCCTCATGGGCTGGCTGTGTCGAATTTCGGAGGTAGTTTGATGTTTTTGACTTGTACATGTTTGGTGGGTGCCCACCTTGGCTCCAAGGTCAATCCCTATGAAGCTCCTTGGCCAAATGCTATGGGGCAGCATTGATCGCTGGTCGCTGGTGGAGACTCCCACCTGGTCGGGTGGGGAAACTGAGGACTCGAGACCTGTCGGACTGCAAAAAGAAGTCGCGCTCCACGGCAATGCTGGATGTGCCCCTCAGATTGAAATGCGCATGCCTAGCCATGGGTAGCCTTTCATCTTTTGTGGGGAATGGGTTTGCCAGTGAACAGGTGGAAAAAGGTTAACCTTTATTTTCCAAGGGGACTGAGGGGATCAGCATACGGATTCGTGGAAAAAAGCGCCTTTGAATCAGGGCTTGCAGGCGGAGGGAAGGACCTATGAGAAGAAGCGGGCCGGCTGAGGCTCCAAATGTGTTTAAGAGGTTCAGACCTTTCCAGAAGCGTACTATCCGGAAACTTGAGCTTTTGCCAGCAAGAATGAGGCCTTTTGTCCCCTGTCAGCCTACGGCAGTTGCTGATACAGGACAACTGGGGTGGGGTGCAGTTGGAAAATCCTTGGATGTTGTGTTGGGCATAGAACGGCATAGGTGTTGCAAGAGCATTCACCACCGACTACTGACCATTTTGTACATGACAACCGCCGCAACTTGGAAAATCAACCGGACACGGGGTGACTGGTGCACCATCAGAGTCATCAGCAACGTCATGAGACTGAACCCCCTTTGCTTTCCACCAGGCAGATTTGGACGGTTTGGAGCATTTTGAGCCGGTCTTGTAAACCTGCCTCATGCTTAAGGGCGGCGGTATCTACGGTTGAGCCAGTCTCTCCTGTTGTACTCCCCCTTCTGTTGATCCACGGGGCTCATCCACATCAGTTCAGCCCAGGGCTGGCTTCGGCCCCTTGGTGGCACTTCTTGTGATTACCGGTGCTGGATTTCCAGAAAGCAGGCCGGAAAGAGGTGCTTCTTGGATTCCTTGGATAGGATGTTGTCAAAGTGTGGGGGGTTCTCCAGATTGTGCCCAGAGTGCTATTTTTTTTGCCTGTGGGTTTGGGGGTGGGATTGCTGATGATTATTGTGTAAGGCCACCACCCTGGATCCACAGTGTTGCTACCTAGTTAGTTTCATTCAACGGTGGATGGTGCAACAGCTATGAGATGTCCGAAGGCTTCTCCTTTGCACACAGGTTGCCCAGCAGGGTTGTGGATGTTTCCGAAGAGCGAGCCAAGGTTTGCAGTTGGATGATGAAGAGGAGAAGGGAGAAGAGCCACCAGTGGAAGAAGCCATTGCACCTGGGCCTCTATGAAACAAAACACGGCATCAATGTCCAAAACTCCCTTTAGCAGCCACACATTTGATGTTGAGGGATGGCAAGGAGTTAGATTATGTTAGATTAATATCAGATGATCACCTCAAAATTGTGAGGTGAAACATGGTGAAACCACGTTTGCCACAGAGTGTCCCAAAGAGCAGTTGTTTCGAGATCTTTCCGGAAGCACCGGTTCGGTGCACCGGTGGACCTGAGGAGCAACTCAAGAGGCTGGCAGCACAAGCCACCGATCCCAAGATGTCATTGGCGATCTCAGGCCAGTTCGGCTGCGGACCGCGGGCTCTCAGGTGCATGTTCTGAATTGCGCTTTGTAACACGATGTGTGGCTGGGTGTTGGAGGCCGCTTCGCTCGGCCCTCACAGATGGACTAAAGGCAGGCACTAGCGGGAAGGCATCAGCGGCACCCTAGGTTGATGGATGCCTTTAGAAGATGTTGAACTCTATTCGCACTAGGTTTGACTGGACTTTGGCTCATGCGAAAATAGGGTACAGGAAGAGCAAGGAGCAATTGTAAAGTTCAATTTGTTGGGAGCTCATGGTTTTGAAGGATCCATGATGTGTATCGAGTACTGGTGTTGCCTAACAAGGTGTGTGTGTGTGTGCGTGTGCGCGTGTGCAGCCGGCTTAGCACATTTGCTTTGAGCCAGATTTGTTCAACTAGCATCAACGGCCCAGTTGTTGAGGGGCCCTTGAGAATGACTTGGGGGTTGTCAGGTGAGTGATGAGTGGGTTTGCGAACCAGTCGCGGCAAAGGCAAAGGGCTCAAACCATGTCTCCCCCGACACACCTTCCGTCAATTGATCGTAGATATGTTGGAAGAAAATAGCCACTGATTGGCCCACTCTCTAAAATGAACAAATTATGTAATAAATGAACTGATATGAACTGATTTTGTTCAGGATCTAGAGGATCTAGAACTGTCCCCAATATATAATATAAGCAGCATATTTACTCTGGATTGTTCCAACATTTGATGACGCGCCGCTTGTGGACAACATTATTATTCAATCTTACGCCCACAACACAGAACTCGCCCGCCTTTGGTCCTTCAGGCATTGTTGGCGAGCTGCAAGCGGGAGTTTGCACTGTGCGTTTCTATGCTGACGGCAGCATTGGTCGCTTCGTTGCTTGGATTGGTTGTATACCTTGGATGCATCCTATAGGCTTACCCCACCTATGGGCATGCACGCACTCTCAATCTGATAATCTATCCTCTCCCTTTCCAATCACTAGTTTGTGAGTGCCAGCGTTGTGTTGCTATGTTGTTTCTGGGTGTTTGATTGTTTTTGTTTGCTTTTCGTAGAGGTAAATCCCAATCTTTCCAGGCCTCCAACCTTCCCCGGCATGCTTGGCTTTCTTAGAGGGCAAGCCTTGTGCCAGTTGGGTGGAGCCCACCAAAGTAATTTTGGTTGAGCAGATTGTGGCTGATGTATGCTTTCGTAGAGGTTGCGGTGCTTCTGAAAGACCCTCCTAAATGATCCTAAATGATGGTGCCGTTCCAGGTGAACGCCCTGGAAACGATTGTTTTCAATGGCGCTCAAAAGCACACAGAAAATTCAGCATCACTAAGTTGTCAAGGTGGTGCAGGAGAGATCCTCCAAACATATCCAGAAAGTAGAGCACAAAGCTGGTCAGTCACCCATTGGGCAGACCCAGGGACGTTGATGTCGTTGCCTGGAACTGTGGAAGTAGTCAAGTAGCCCCTCAACACTGGAATGATTGGTGATTGGTACTGAATGGCAAGAGACACCAAGAGGAGCAGTTTCTCTTTGTTTTTTCCGGGTTGCTCCTGGGTGTCTTGACATGGATTGACAGCTTGATGACAGACGGGATGCCGGAGGGGCGGATGCTCTCAGCCAAGGTGACCCTGCATGCCTTGCGGCTACTGCGGCCTGAGGACGACCATGTGCTCATGCAGGCAGCTGTGCACGGACGTGAGGAAGGGATTGAACAATCAGTTGCACTATTTGACATGTGACCTCCGATTAACCCAGCTCATCCTCAACATGGACTTGTGAGACATGATGAGGTTGGAAGACTACAGATTGCACTTACATTGCTGTTAGAATCTTCTAGATAGTGAACTGCCTGGAGCAGTGAGCAATTGAACTAGCTTTCTTTATTGACACCGTAGCTCTGGTATCTGTCAGTCCGGCTGGGCGAACACGAATCCCGACCAGGTCAAGCATGTCAATGAGACTATACCACTCTTTGGCTTAATTTGATGCCATTTCGCAGCCTT